CTTGGGGGAGGGGAACCAAGGGCAACACATGTAACCTAAACATCTGTACCCCCATAATACCATAATATGCTGAAATAAAAAAAAAATAAAATAAAACTCAACTCTCTATTTCAAAGTGGTTACCTAGGAAGGCTAATTGGTTTTGTCTCCTGAGTTCTCCTCCTCTACTCTTCCTCCCTTCTAAGCCATTCTCCACACTGAAGTTAGATTGATCTTTCTACAATTTAAGTAGCATCACCTCTCTCCTGCATAAATGTTTCAGTGACCTCCCATTACCTCAGAATAAAGTTCAAGCTCCCCATCACAGTTTAAGTTCCCCTCTTGGGTCTGGTGTCTGTCTGCCTTTCTAGCTTCCTTTCTCACTACTACAGGTTGAGTATCCCTTATCTGAAATGCTTGTGACTAGAAGTATTTCAGATTTCATATTTTTTCAGATTTTGGAATATTTGGATCTACATAATGAGATATCTTGGGTATGGGACCCAAGTCTAAACAAAAAATTCATTTACCATCCATATATACCTTATACACATAGCCTGAAGGTAATTTTATACAATATTCTTAATAATTTATGCATGAGGAAAGTTTGTGTACATTGAACCATCAGAAAGCCAAGGTGTAACTATCTCAGCCACCCATGAAGACGATCTGTGGTTGTTTGGCATGAACATCATTCCCGACTCTGAATTTATATGCCACTGAGAAATAAAAGTAAAATCCTAAGCCCCTCAACTGACTGAATGGGCCCCCTCTTGGCCAAGGGGACCCCAGAGAAAACTTAAAACTGAGTTCCCGGACATGGCAGGACTGGAGGTCAGACACACCTCATTATACCCCCTCCCTCCTTAACCTCCATTAGGGTTTCTTCCCTAAGAGTTAAACAGAACCAGCCTTTTGAAAAGACTTGCTCCACCCCCATTTCAATTAACTGCCTAATACTGCCCTGCCCTTTTTGTGTTTTCACCACCACAACTGACCAGCATTCCTTTCTGATAAAGGGACCCCTACCAAGGAGTGGTTCTGACCAGCCTACAGAGGATGTGCAACAAGGGTTTTTGAGTACTCTGCTTCACTTTTTGATGTCAGAGGCCCCAAAACTTCACTGTCAGATTATGCTAACATTGCCATCTTTTGTACATGTGACCTATGAAGGGGCATGAAGCTCCACTGCTCATGTGCATGTTTCTGCTTTCATAAATATTCATGACTCCTCCTGTAGCTTGTTAAATATGTATAGTCGTCGCTCCCACGAAGTACATGCTTTCAGATTCTGCCCGAGGCTATGCTTCCCAGCCTCTCAGAACGGCCACCCTGCAGGCTGTAACCCTTTATGAGAAATAAAGCTCTCCTTTCCAAATTTACGAACCTCATCATTTCTTCAGTTGACATTACCAATAAGCTATCATTTTCTTATACTTATTCATACATAGGTATTAATACTTAAGAGTCAAAAATAGGAAATACCATTAATATTTTGAAAAAATAATGTGTTCAGGGTAACTAGGCAGCACAGCAGCATCACCAGAATCCCTGCATCAGCTGTTAAACAATAGCAAAACAACCAGCAGCAGGCTTTCAGTGTCCACCTACATTTTGGTTGTGACCCATCACATGAGGTCAGGTGTGGAATTTTCCATGTGTGCCATCACGTGGGCACTCACATTTTCAGATTTTGGAGCATTTCAGATTTTGGGTTTCTGGATTAGGGATGCTCAACCTGTACCTCTCTAGAACTCTACATGCCAGCTATACTCCACTGGCTTTTAATTCTTCTAAATTGCTTGACTCTCACCCATTACAAGGCCTTTGCACATGCTGTTCCTGTTCCCTTGGAACTTTCTTTTCTTATCTCATATTTCCTTTCCTGGCTTTCCTTCTTTCTGTTAAATTATACTTTAAATGTCATTTTCTCTGGGAAACTTACAAGATTTCCTAGACTTGGTGATTTACCCCCACAGAGGGCAAGAAATTTGCCCCTTATAGCCTGAAATTCCCTGATCAAAGAACCTATCATACTTTATGATCACTGCTTATTTGCCTATTAATATCTCCCTTTACAGACAGAAAGTTCCAAAAGGGCAGAAACTGTGCATGTTTTGCTCACAATTGTCTCCTAGTCCTCGGTCTGGTTCAAAATAGACAGAAATAATTTTAAAAATTACTCGTTAATTAACATTAGAAAATCCTCATGGCTTGTCTTCCAGATAGTCCATTATACCTCACTTCTAGACCTAGGTATTTTTTTTTTCTTTAGAAGCTTTCTAGAGAAGGATATATGTGAATTGAATGCAATGCAAATTTTTAAAAATTCTCTTAACATTTTCTAGATTTTACTGCAATAAAAATAAAAATGTAAATGAAAAATATGAATATTTATACGATAGGCCCCACCCCAGCTTTCCCAATTCCACAGGGTTTAAAGTGCTCATTTGCTTTCTTACATGCAAAATAGTATGATTATGCTACTTACTTGCATCCTCAAATGACACTCTGGCTTTGCAGTCACTCCAGGATCCAGTTGAAAAATGGACTTCCTTGTTTTTTGTAGCCTTTTGTGGCTCCTTTCCAGTTTTTATCACAGACTTTGTTTTTCTCTTCTTCTTTCTCTGCTTCCTCTTCTCAGCTAAGCATAGCTTCCTCTGTCATGTTCTATAAACCTGCCACTGTTGATGAGTCTTTTTATGTGCTTTCGGAATCAGTGGGCTCTGTCTCATGACCTCTTAGGTTCTATCTCAAATTTTAGTGGCAAACCAATTTTGCTTTACCTGTTACTTTCTCTCCCCTTGCAATTCATTTCCTAATTTAGTTACTGAATTAACTCTTCAAACACAGGGCAGAATTGAATGCTCTCACATCATCAAATTTTGTTTTGTTCACTGTTGCATCACCAGTGCCAAGAACAGTACCTAGCACCTGGTAAATAGAACATATTTGTTGAATAAATTAAATACCTGGGCATGTACTCTATGGCAGGCTGCTTACCTCAATTTAAATTACTTTGTTGTTCATATGTTGCAGGTAAGTATTTACAACTTCCTTGAGTATCTAGAAATTGATTATAATACTTCATAAAATTTTATTTCAAGATACATATATATATATATATACATACACACACACTCACACACATACACACACACACACCTCGTGACCCAATCCAATTACAAGTATTCTTCCTTAGCAGGTTCTTTTTTGTCAATGTTCAGAAATGCAAGATGAAGAAGGCTTCCTTTTGTTTTTTTGTCACAAATTAAGAGACTTTACTTCCTTTATACATGAGGCCTAGTCTTCAGTCATAATCTAGCCTTTAATTGGAACAACAAATATAGTAACTTCATTTAAATGTAAACAAAAGTGATGAATTCATCCTGTAAATTGAATTGCTGGTGTTTATAAATTATGTGGCAAGTTACTAGGCAAGAAGGGTTCATGGTGGTGGGGGGGGGGAGATGCCGCCAGAGAGTGCAGACAAAATGTCACGGTACTGCCACTAATTTAAGAATTGGGGTGTATGGAGATCTTCGTGAGAGCTGGGTTGGCAACAGGAGGGATTTGATGGGATGACAGAGGTTAACTGGTGGACATCAGGTTCAGGAAGAAATAGGGATGAAGACTTTAGGAGATGAACTAACTTAGCCTAAATTAGCAAGTATGTAGCGAGAGAAGGAAAAGGCATCAGAATCGTGGGAGATGGTGGGGAAAGAACCTAGGAGAAGCACGAATTGAAGAGGAAAATAGAAAGGGCCAGGGCTTAGATGGTGGAGTCATGGGGACTAAGGATATGACCCCAGAGTGCCGATGCTAAAGGTGGAAAGAGACAGCAACGAAAGCAGGCCTTCAAAGGGCAAGAGGAACTCCCAAAGGTAGCAAGGAACGGGGATGGGGTGCTCCCCAAAGGGCAGAGACGAAGAGGGAATCCCAAGCCAAAATGCAGTAGGAATGTAGGTAGGCGATGTCCAAGGTGTCTGAATGAGGAAGCACAGTCTGCGTTTTCTGGAGGTTTTCATACAGAACACTAGGATTTAGATTTTGGGTTGGAAAAATATATTTTAGATTCTCAAGAGGGGATTTCAGCTTACTAGAGTTCAGTCAGATTTGGTGGGGCAGGTCGTCAGTCAACGTCGGAAGGAAAACTCAGGGCTGGGAATTAATTTCAACCGGTTTAGGGAGATTTCAGCGAGGGCTGGAGGGACTAAGGTCGAGAGTACATGCGGGTCCCGTTCAGCTCAGGTGGTCCACGTGCCTGGCTGGGGCAGGAATTTGTGTGGGCGGTGAGGCGTATTCTGGCAGCGGTGCGGGTGAATTTCCTTCAGGACTGCGGTGCATTTCTGGCAGGGCTGGAGGTGGGCTGCACCCGCGGCGGAGGGAATCCCATCTCGGTGGGGGGCATTTCGGGCCGCGCGGGGGTGCGCCGGTCGGAAGAGAGAGGCCGGGGGGACCCCGAGCGGCTCGGGCGTGCGAGGGCGGAGAGAAGCGGCGCGGGGCCCGAGAGGCGCGGCCGGCACGGGGATTTCGGCGGCGTCCGCCACGGCGAGCTGCGCCGCGCTGCAGCCCCTCCCGTCCCGGGGGAACCTGTTGCCGGAGAAATGGGCGGGCGGTGGCGACGACGAAGGACCCTCCCTCGCCTCAGCCGGGCCGCTCGGCAGCCCTTTCACCCTGCACACGCTCTGCGGCGCGGCCCCTCCCTCCGCTCCTTCACTTAAAACAAACAAACAAAAAAACGCCGCCACCACTCGGTACGGCGAGCCCGGTCGCCTCCCGTGCCGCTTCCGGGAGCGGAGGCGCGGCCCCGCGGCCCGAGGAGGAGGAGGAGGAGGAGGGGGAGGCCAACATGGCGGCGCGCAGGGCAGGGCCGGGCCGCCGCCGCGCCTGAGCGCCCCACCGCCCTCGCCCGGCTCGCGGCGCCCACGCCCGCACCCACCCTGGCCCGGCGGCCGCGGAGCGCGCGGGGCAGGAGCGCAGGGGCCCGCCTGGGCGCGGGGGCGGTGCGGAGGCAGCGCTGCGCGGCCCGCCAGGCCCGGGACCCGCAGCTTCGCCGCTCGCCGGTCGGCGCAGCCCAGAGGCCCGAGCCATGGAATCGGAGGAGGAGCAGCACATGACCACGCTGCTGTGCATGGGCTTCTCGGACCCCGCCACCATCCGCAAGGCCCTGCGCCTGGCCAAGAACGACATCAACGAGGCCGTGGCGCTGCTCACCAACGAGCGGCCGGGCCTCGACTACGGCGGCTACGAGCCCATGGACAGCGGCGGCGGCCCCAGCCCCGGGCCCGGTGGGGGCCCGCGGGGCGACGGCGGAGGTGACGGCGGCGGCGGCGGCCCCTCCCGCGGCGGGAGCACCGGAGGCGGGGGTGGTTTCGACCCCCCGCCCGCCTACCACGAGGTGGTGGACGCGGAGGTGAGGAGGAGCAACCCCTGACCTCGCGGGAGAGGCCACTGGGGACACACCCCACGGGGCTTGCACTGGGGAGACGGGGCTTATAGTGGGGCGGGGGGCGTGGAGAGAGAATGAAGCACCAGCTTCCAGTCGGGGACGTAGGTCACTAGACTGGGGTTAAGTGGAGAAAGGGACTCTTAGGGGAGGGGTCCGAATGGGAGTTAGGGGTGCAGAACTGGACTGCAGGTCAGGGTGAGGAGGGGTCCCTTAGGCTTCGGGCTAAGCACGCCGACGCGGCGGGCCAGAGATCGGGAGGAGGGTCCAGGGATAGTAGCGGAGATGGGAAGACAGACACAGTAGCCTGGAGCTATGTTGGAGAGGACACGTGTATCAGGGTCAGAAATGAGGTACTGGTGGACTAGGCTAGGTCTGAGATCTCTCGGCACCAGGTTTTGGTAAAGGATTGGGGGAGGCACCAGGTTCGGAGTCTCAGAAAAAGTGGGATGGGCCAGCAAGAGTAGTGGTCTTTGCGAGGATCAGCAGACTGTTAGGGTTAGGAATGGGATTTGGGTTTTAGCCAAAGGTCAGAAAGCGGAGACATTGAGCAGGGTCTAAAAAGAGGAGGGACTGGGCATGGACCAGGAATGACAGGAATTGATCTAAAGCGGGTGGGGGGATTTCGGCTTCAATAAGGTCTGGGGTGGAAAGCTGGACTTTAATAAGGTCAGGTTTTAAAGCAGTGGGGATTGGACTGAGAGAGGCCAAAGGTAAGAAGCCTGGGCAGGGGTAGGGACTGGAATTGGAGGATGAAGCTGGGACCAACTCTGGGTAAGTGGGGAGTACTTGTCATAGGTCAGAAATGAGGGAACACTAGATGGGGAAAGGGGGGCAGTCATACTGAGGGTGCTATGCAGAGGGATAGGGAACAGGGTGGGAGATAAATGGGAGTGGAGCAGGAGTTTGTTGAGGCTAATGGCTTTGATGGGAGATCTCAAGACTAGGTGGAGAAAACTAGGCCTGTTTAGTTTGGGATGTGAGCAAGGAACAGGGAGAAGAAACCCGGCTTTTCCTACGATAAAGAAGAAAGATCAAGCAGAAGCAGTAGTGCTCGCGAATAATTATTTTGCAGAAACATGGCAGCTCATGGCAGGAATTTTGGTCAGATTCATTGGATAGTGCATTTCAGGGTCCAGTAGAGCAGCTTGCCTGACCACAGAAAGAGCACAGATCTCAAATAAATGAGATTGTGTTTTTAGATAGGTATATGCATTTGGATAATTCTTAGCTAAGCTAAGCCTTCTGAAAGAATTCTTCCTGAGCAATGGTATATCCTTTTAATTATATGCTTTTTGCAGCAGTTGCTTGGGCTAAAGTAGCTTAGGAAAGAAGGTGGCACTTCAGAAAAAACAGGTTTCTGTGCAAGATTTCTTTGGTTTCCAGACTTTGACACACTTGCTGGATTGCCCTGTCACCAGTAACTCAACTGCATCATTGACTGGTTTATGGAAGTAAAGATTATTATTGTTCCTAGTTTGGGAATTTAAAAAAAAAATCCCATATAATTAAATAACTACTTAAGTCACTTTAAGAAATGAGCTTCTCTTTGCCAGTTCCCATCACTCCTCCCCTTCTTCCTTCCAGTTTTGACCCAGTTTTGAAATCAAGAAGAAAGCTCTTGCTTTTTTTGATGGTGTTTGTGTAACTCTGCAAACCTCAGTGTATCCTCATTATGTGAAATATTTTATTCTTTTTTTTCTTTTGTCACACCTTTTAATTTCCTGTGATTGAGAAATCAATAAATTATGATGCTTGGTGCATTAACCTTAGCTTACTGCCTATACATTTAAGTACAAAGAATTGGGAGTGGCTTCTTTTCGCATGAATGGCTGGCCCAGGAGTTTGCTTTCAGGTAAAATCCAGAGAATGTCCACATTTTTGAAGCAAAATGTCAAGTCCTTATTTCTCTTTGACCTGTGGATTTGACCTAGGGGAGGTTGCACAATTTACTTTTGAGAGTTCAGGAAGACTGGTGACTGATGCTACTTTACCCATCAAGCATATTGGCAGAAGTTGGCAGGCTGACACTTTTCCTGACATACGGGAGCCTGGTGAGACCATTTAACCCAAAGTTTGCCTCTGTGGTTTAAACACCTTCATGCATACTTGTTATTCATCCTTGATGTAGACAATGGGAAGCCGAGGCTTTTGATCTTGGGAAATAGGAAAATTTTTTAATTATTGTTGAGTATCTTCAGTGTGTCAAGCCATGTATTAGGTGCTTTATACAGTTTAATCCTTGGTGATAAAGTTGTAACATTACCATTTTTAGGAATATGATTGTGTAGTTAGTGGCGGAGCCTGAATTTGAACCCAGGTCTCTGACTTCAAAGCCAGTGTGCTTTTCACTCTGCTTACATGGTTTTAGGATTGAATTCATTTGGTAGCAGTATGGATAACAAGGAAAAATAAAGAGGAAAAGAGAGAAATTATGAAGCTACTGTGCAAGTCTAAGAATGATGTGAGTGCCTAATCAAGGCATTAGGAATAGAATAATGGGTAGAATGAAAGAAGGATCATAGATTTTTTTTTTAAGCAGAAGACTTTAGAAATTGGTCATTAGTTCAATTCCCTTATTTTACAAATGCAGCCTTTCAGGCCCCAAAGGGGAAGTGTCTTGTCCCCTCAGAGTCAGTTAATAGAACAGGTGGGGCTAGAACTCAGGCCCTCTGGCTTTAGGACTGGCTTCTTCTCCCTATTAGCTGCCTCTTTTTCAGAGAAAAAAGGGACAGGTCAGGGTTATGAGTTAAAGGGAAGGAAGAAAAGGAAAGTAAAACCTGGGTGAAGATTGTCAGCTGTTGTATAATTTACCTTTTTTATTTCTCAAAACTGAGTCCCTGAAATTTCAGCTTGCATTCTCTTAAAAATGTTTGGGAAAACACAGAATAAAATATAATTGATTTAAAAAGCAAAAATGATTAAGCTTATTTTATATTTGTATTTGAAGATAGAAATGGTTCTCTTTTAATACCTCCAGGTCCCAGGGCAGGGAATAGAGTGGTAAACAGAACACAGATTTTACATTCTCTCGGGTCTTTGTCCAAGCCTCTCATTTTACAAGAAGTGACTTCCCAAGGTCATGTAGCTAGTTAGGTAAATCAGTTTAGTAATTTGGGGCCTTGCTGTAATTAAGATTTGGTTTAAAAGTTACAATTTGGAAAGTACAAGCAGTTAACTTCTGGTCTGGTAGAAGCAAAGGAGAATGCAGATAAAAAAAAAAGACCCAGATATCTAGCAAACCCATAAAACTGCATAGAAAACCACCTTTTTAATATCTTCCAATTTTATGCTTTGCAGAAAAGTTGTGTTTGTTCTCACTTATATTGTTGGATGTAGATACAGTTCTTGGTTTCTGAGTTTGCATTGCTTCAAAACCATTCCACCGCACACAAGAGTCTGTTCTATTATTAAAGAGAGTGAAATCTCACAGCTCTCTAAATAACTTATCCTGATGTTTTAACATGTCCCCCTCGCCCCCACTTCCTTGCTGTTTTTTACATGGCTGATGTAAACCCCCGCTGACCACTACTGAGCGCTCATTCCCTGTTCTCCACAGCGTGGGGAAAGTTGGTCCTTTGGTCAGTAGAACCAGGTATCATGTGCATCTTACAAAACTTAACAACTATGAAATGTACCTTGTTATTAAGTCTCTTTATTTTGTCTTTAGATAATACTAAAATGGAATTTTTTGCAAGGAGATTTCACATTCATTGAGGAAATACCTTTCTTAGCTGTCTAGTTCTGTTGATTAATATTCCCAGAAGTGATATTTAATATTATGATCTAACAAATATTTTGAACTCTGTTTTGTTCCTGTTTTAATGTGAACATATCCTTCTGGAGGAATTTTGTGAGAAGCATTTGCAAGATTTCATTGCTTTTTGTTTTTTAAGTTAAGAGCCCCAAAGTTGGTCCTGCTATATATAGCTAAATCATGTAAAAATAAAAATCACGTTAATTTGTAGTTCCTTAACTTACCCCATTTCTGCTTCTGTTTTCCCCCTTTGGTAGTAAGTGGTAGTTATAAATGAATTGAAATTATAATACCCTCAAATGTGAATATTAAGGTTTATATTAAAACTCATGTTTGTTTTTTCCTAAAAGACAACAATCTTAGTACATTTGAGTGTGGAGTAAATATGAAATGAGTAAATCTTAGTAAATTATTAATGATTTGAATACATGACCAATACTCTGTGATTTACCATGATTTAGTAAGTTAAAAAAGAAAGAATTCATTTAAAGATTTTAGAGTGAAAAATAGAAGAACCAAAATCAGTTGAAAGTAAATGAAATAAAAGTAGGGAATCTTAAAGATGAATCAGCATAGCCTAATTTTTGAAATAAGAATTTCTTTATGATCTATATGTATCTCCTTTGGGAGTTAGGTCTATGAGTTCATCTAACGGTTGGATTATCACCTTGTAATTACCTGACCATTCATTTTTGGAATGAATATAATTCAGTGTTAAGGAAGTGCCTTTTGTGTGTTGGTGGGTGTGTGGTTCTAGTGAAATCTTAGTAGGTTGTGACAGCTTTATACAGCATAATAATGTTATTAGCTTAAAATTTAAAACCAATTTCAATGTTAGAAAAGTAAATGTTCTAACAATTTCAGGAAAAGGTTTCAACTTTAATAGCAAAATACATCAAGTATACTTACATATTTTTATACTTAGTGCCCAAAATATTATATAATATTTATTTGAATCTGAATGTGAAAGTGAAAATTTTTCACTTTTAATAAAGTATTAAGAAAGATTTAGCAGAATGTTTCAAATCTGGAGTTCAGTTTTCCACGATATTTTTCATATTGGGAACCCCAGAGAGAAATAAGTGAGCACATAAATACATATAATTGAACCATTTCAAAACACCCCCATACATTTAATACACTATAGCTCACGTATTTCATTTGCATTTAAACTTTTTTTTTAAAAAAGCACAGTTGAAACAAGTTTTAC